CGCTCCCCCTCCCCCCGCGGCCCCGGCCCCAGGTCCCCACGGCGGCCTTCCCGGCGGGCGGGCGCGGCGATAACTGTAGGGGTCCCCGCCCTTCCCGCAGTCGCTGCTTCCAACACTGCCTCTGGGCAGGGAAAGGCCACTGGGCCCACAGCCTGGGTTCAGATGTGACTAGGCGGACCACATCTGCAGAGGAGGCTCTCTGGGCTGCAGCGAGGGCTTATTCTAAGTGTGGCATGTGTTAAATGTCTGACACACAGTAGGCATTCAACACAAAATAAAAACTACCTTGTTGAAAATGGAGGTGAGAGGGGTCATCAGAATCTACAATTACAACAAAAAGATCTTAATCTAACCTCCACCCCACCATGATCAAAGATGGAATGCAGTTTGTTAGGTCTTAAGAATAAACGAGTGTATGAACTGGCCATTTACAACACCCACCCCCAATTCTTCAAGTCCCTGACATATGTGCACCTTACATCCATAAAGATAGAATTGGTTGGTTGCCCCCTGTCCACCAGATGTAGGGAAAGGACTAAAGGGCTGCCACAGTCTCCTTAAGTGGGGAGCAATTATTACTATCTTAGCATTTATCATTGTGTTCTCTAGTGCCAGTTTAGGGTCTAGAGGTTGGAGTCTGGAAGGCACAGAATGATCACAAACGTCATCCTTGGTGGATTGCCCAGAGCATCCCACTCCTGTCCGAGCATGCTAAACTCCCGTCTCTTCCTTCTCTCTAGCTTGGTTAGGGACTCTCAGGGTCCCTAACTACCCCAGCCACAGAGGCCCTGATACTAGGCCATGGATGGAGATAAGGAGACATTCTGTAAATATCTGGAGTTTTAACTCCACACTTGCAATGTGGCAGGGTCACTTCTTAGTGCACAGGGCAAGTTTCTCAGTACACGGGAATGAGGGTAAGCAATGCCTAACTTGCTTATTGGGTAGCACAGGTACACAGGGTGGATTATGAGGTAGGCTTATATAGCTCCTGGATTGCCTCCTTTTGCTGCTGTCACCTAGAGCACAGCTGGGAAGAGAGGGCAGGGACAGGGCTTGTACGTACACCACATACAAACGACATGGGGACTGACTGGGTAAAGCAATAATGCCCATTCCTCAACCTCTTTGAAGTTGAACCTCCACAAATGTTTGATTTCATAGCACTCTTGAAAAACCTCTCAAGGGGAAACAAAGGTGTGTGTGTGTGTGGGGGGCACTTACTGTATTGTACATTTTTTTTTTCCTTTAACTTCCACATCCACATACAATTAATTCTGACAAGTCTCTCTCTTTCCTGTCCTTCCCTTACCCTTCCCTCCCAACGCTGCTCTGCTTCTCCCTCTTTTCTCATTGCCCCCTGCCAAGGTAAAATATTTTTACAGATAGGTAATAAAGAATGATTGTTCTCTATAATAACCCCAAGAGAAGTCGGAAGAAAACGTTCCTCAGAAGTTGTGAGTTTTGAGTTGAATGTTCCAACTGCTTACAAGATGTCCAGAAAGCCATTGAGGCCCTCAGGCCAAGGGGCATTCATTCTGAAGCTGTTTCCACAATATCAAGATAGCTCAAAGGCAAATATTTAAATTTTCAAAAGAAGGCATTGAAAAAATTTTTTTTCCTTAAAATGGGATGGTTTTCTTGTTTGTTACTCTAATAAAATAAATACTACAGGGAAGAAATTGCCAGAGCTCCTGCGAGGTCTCCTGCAGGGTAAACTGAGATGTACAAGCAAAGATAACTTAGTTAACCAACTAAAACAACCCCTTAGCCCTGGAAATCGCCTCTATCAGCCAACATCCCTTGCATTAGATTGTCATCTCTTATTATCAAGGACTAGACCTCAGTGAAAGCCCAGGATAGATCTGCATGTGATGTGCCCTTGAAACTTGCAACTCCAATGAGGAAGAATATAGGAAGGCCAGGCCAATAACCAAGCCTCGCGAGTCCACAGATCTTAGCTCCGTATTTGGTCCCCGAGTTCACCCTCCTCTCCTGCCACTGTCCACTGCCAGTTTTGCTGTATTTCTCAACCCCTTACCATATGTGTGAATTAATCCATTCTGATTGGCCTCCAAGTTGTTCTAGTCCTCCTCCTTTCTGGTAGGGAGCGAATCAATGTTAAAATTGGAAAGGAAGAGGTACAGGGCAGCCCGAAGTCAAAAGAAGAAATCAGAAGAAGAAGTCAGAAGAAGAAGTCAGAAGATAATCCACACACTGGAAGACTGAAACCCAGTCAGAGATATGAGTTTCAATAATCAAAGATTCAGTAAGCATGCGTGTGTGTTTTTCCCATGAGAAACTCAGCTTCCTTTTAGTGGAATTTATCTATGGAGCAAAGTCAAAGGCTGGTAGCATCATGTCTGTTATATTCAGGTGGCACCTATAAAAGGAGCAGATCTTAAAAAGTGGGCACTCGACCAGAACTAGATGCAAGGATATGGACTCAACTGTCTCAACACTATGTTAGATCAGTTATTGCAGAAACAAGAAAGTTTCAAGGCTTTGGCCACAGATCTTAGCCAAATACATGCTTTACTAGCTAAACATTTAAAAAAGAAAAGTAAAATTAAAATATGAACAAATCCGGGCCCTCCCTGGTGGCACAGAGGGTTAAAGCACAGCACTAAGAAGCTTAAGCCACTTCTGCATGAGTTTGATCCCCACCTGCCCCTGAGGTGACCAGCATGGCTGGGCAGACTTCTCCTGACCCGCCCGCTGCTCCCCTCATCGATCTGCCTGTTCTGCTCCCTGCTCTGTCTCTGGTGAAGCCTCTCACTCTCCGCATCTCTGGCCTGTACCCCAGTTCTGTATAAATTAATAAATAAATCTTTAAAAAAAGAACAAATCCTAAAATATAAAGTACATATAAAAACTAATAGCAATGTTTAAAGATTAAAATATGAGAGTTGGTTAAATTATGTAACAAATGACCCTACTGAGATGAAATTATTTTTGGTAAAAAAATTTTTTTTAAATAAATTCAGGGCTGTAGTAGTACATCCTGAAGAGATTCATTATAGAAAAGATTCATTAACTTTGTGGTTTACTCCCTCATAAATATAGTGAGCTCCAAGCCCTCCCTAGTAGAAAGTGTCCTGGGTGATTCTTGGGGAGGTTTAAAGGAAGAGGAAATCCTCACAGAAATTTCCTTCATCTTAAATTACGTAGTTTAGAAAAAACACTAAAAGCAAGTGATAGCATAAAAATTCTGTCTCCAAATAGCCTTGGGAAAGAAGTCACCCTGTTTGGCTTATTTTTTTGTCTCGAGGAGGTTTGATCTTTTCAAATTCCAAAGCTCTTCAACTTTGAAAATTCAAGTTTCTATTTGCTCTTTGCATGAAGGTGAAAAGCCAGCATCTGGCTGACATCATGGCCACATCGTTTCTGGGCATCTCTGTGCCTCTGTTTCCTCATCTGTAAAATGATACAGCATTACTACCTTTACATCATAGGGCTGTTGTCAGCACCTGACACTTAGAAAGTGGGATGCATGTGTTGGGTATTATACTTAAAGATGAAACACTTGTTTTCATTGCTACAGAGACCAGCAAAATAAAAGCATATGCTCGTATAGTTACAATGTCCATGGCTAAGCCCTTTACTATGTTCTTTCAATGAGGACCACTATAGTGACAAGGAAAACAACCACATGAACATCACAAATGACATCGGTCCCCAAAAGTGGTTACAGTGGTTTGCACCATCTGTCCCCGGGAACCTTACCTTCACACAGGTACCACTGTAAGCAATCCCTCCTCACAGGGTCAGACCTGCATCTTAGACAGCCTTGTCCCATGGCGAGGCTAGGAGATAGGAGTAATGGGGACCTTCTTAATGAGTAATGGGGATCTTCTTGATAAGATTATAAAATTCAATCTTGAATCAAGCAAAATGTGATAAGTTCACCAGCATTTAAAATGTGATTAACCTCTTAATAGTGACGGCTT